ATGAGAATTTGAATGTTTGGTGGCGGAACGTTTGCATTTTTGGTGGCGGACCATACACCATATTCGAGAAAAAATTGATCTAAGTTATTGAAATAAATAACAGATTCAAAAATAATAATAGAACAATAAGCTCATGAAAAGTACATTATAACATGATGAAATAAATTAGTGAATGAGAAATCATTCACTCAAGTTTGATTTTCTCTTTGCAAGAGGATATGTTTCTCGACTTTAATTTTGAATAGGGTGATATTTGTGCAACTTTCGATATCATCAGGTAATTTATTGAATTTTGAGATAGCTCCATGAGTAAACTTTTTTTGGCCAAGTGTAGAATTAGCAGCATCAAGATGAAACAAATATTGTCTAGTATGATGTTCATGGATTTGAGAATTCCTTACCAATATGAAATTAGATTTGAGGAGTTTGTTGATAATATCAAAAGGAATTTTGATAGTATTTATCAGATAGTGCTCTTCCAAATAAAATGTATTTGTTTCTTCATAAAGTTGATTTGATGGGGTGTCATATGGAAGACGATACAGTACTTTCAATGCTTTTTTATATAGTACAGATATTTTGTTGAAATTATTTGGAATATGCACCCCAAACATTTATGAGATAGTTCATTTTACTAAGGATGTGAGAGTATAGAACGTATTTGCTATATTTGGGAGAAGTTTTGGACATCTTCTTGAGGCACCAACTATGGGGGACATTTTTTCTTTGAGCATGCCAATATGCATGTTCCATGTTATCTTTCCATCTATCCAAATACCAAGCTATTTGGTATAGGCAGTTTTTTTCAATCTTTCATTTTTTATTCTGATATTCAAATCAATATTTTGTTCATTTCTTTGATGGCAAGTTATATATTGTGTCTTATTAGAATTAAGGGAAGGAAGATTGGAGTATAGCCATTCTTCCGTTTTCTTCAAATCCTCATTTATGTTGTTTTCTAAAATACCAGGGTTTTTGTTTTCAAATAAAAGTACTGTGTTATCTGCATATATAATAATTATAATAGTATTAATACGTTCATTATTCCCCAAAAACCATGACAAGTATAAGGTTGTAGGTTAAGCATACTTAATGTAGCGAATAAATGGCCAGAGTTCAGTTACATTCTACCAAGTAGATTGAAACTGTTCTTCCATTCTGGCCAGACCTAAACCTAACAAGAAACAATAAATCTGACGGCTAAAGAACCTAAAATCATTAGTATAGTATATGAAGAGTTAAGAAGACGAGGCATAGTTTCCAATTAAATTCAAAAACACTAACAGTTGTTATTTCTGTGTCCGAACTGTCATCTTACAATACCATCCAGTGACTGACTCCTGACTCTATGTGTACCGACCCCGGATACTTTCGACCAGCTGTTGGGAAATGCGAACATTGCGGATCGCTTTCCTTTCAAGGACAATGATCGATGCATCAGGTCGTCCTCGTTCCACGCCGGAGGAAATGGGAAATTGGGGTTTCCTGGGTAACGAGTCGTCGCGACGTCATATCGACCGCGGCGACGCGGGGCTGCGTAGGCGTCCCGACGCCGACATGTGCGTTATTGGCGATGGTGCCGGCTCATCCGAATTAACGGTGAATCTTCGGAAAAATGAATCGAAAGAGGCAGAGTTGTCTATCATGGGGTATGGGGGATGATCGTTTCTCCGAAACAAAACGTCATACGGAAAATCTCTCAACGTCAGTTTGTAGAGCTTAAAAAGTGGCAATATTAAATTGTCTTTTGTTTTACTGTATCTCTTAACCCAGATATGCCTAATGTCCTATATGTGGTACACCGTACACCTATACTTGCTCTATATTTCCCACTACTAGCGCCATTTTTCTATATGTAGCAAGACCATGCATTCATTCCACATAAAATGGTTATGGACATGCCAAAAATACTCACAGACTTGCTTGATTTGTGCTGAACAGCAGGTTTGAAGTCAGGTTATTTCAGAAAATGGTTGATTTTGCTGCACGCTTTGCTCGGTGAGTTATTATTTCATTCTTATTGTTATTTTTTAGATCCGATTTGTGGCCTCAATGATCATGTGAATAAACCATATATGTTTCATATTCCGACTCATTCTTTTGAGCATTCATGGTGGTAATGTCTTGTTTGAGCTGAAGATGGATTTTTATGAATTCGAAACATGTCCCCCTGAATAACTTACATCATTTAAAAAGTGGTGTTGATGATAGTTTTTCTTCAGAGGCAATATCTGAGATAAAAAAACGATAGAGGAGGAGAAGAAGAAATCAAAGAAAGTAGAGACAGAAAAACGGAGGTTGAACGATTGGGTAGTAGGAGATTTGCCCACTATAGAATCAGATTTTGAGAATGATATTGATAATGGCCAACTCAAATTTTTCTCAAAATCCTTCGACGAACCTATTTGTAAATCTTAATCGGAGATGTATCATCAGAAAACCAGTTTCAATTGTCATCCCTATGTGCCTAATGTCCTAAATGTAGGACGGCCAGATGGTAGTATACTAATGAATAAATGAAAATTATGAAATCCATATATATACTTCATTCATTTCGCCATTCAGATCAAATATCAAGTATTCGAAGTTCTGTATTCCTCACAAAAGATTTAGACAAATCTGGGTTATATAACGTCAGAAAAAATATTATTGTTATCTTGGGCACGCCTTCGCTTGATCCGTGTGAGATTGCTTACCTTCTTATTTCCCTTCTTGCCTATTTCCTATTGCCATCAGGTGTCCCAATCTTTCGTTTTTCCAAAATTACATGTTAATTACAGGTTGCCGGTTGTTGCATGCTGGAATTCGAATTAATGAACTCCGATGAAATAACAAGGTGTTGCGCAATATCTTCTCGGACAATGTTTATAAACATTTCAAATTGCCGGAATCGTATTTCAAACAACAAAACTGCTCCAGGCTTGATGTGCACAGAACTATTTATCTGACATTTATATTTATTTATATCTCATCCTGGTATTATAAACTCCTTCGTAGAATATACAATCGTTGTAATAAAATAGGGAACAATAATTATATGAATTATTAGAAGAAATATTCTGTTTTTCAACATGTGCATGTACTTTGAAGAATCAAAACTTCGACCAAAACCAATCTCATAAGCGAGCTCATAAGTCTAAAGTTGTTAGATCTAATGATGAAATCTGAAAAAAAAACGATGTTTGTATGATTTAGCTAGTTGATTTGTTAGGAATTCCTCCATGGAGAAGAACCAGTTTTCTAATAAGAATTTTTTAGTTGCGTTTTTGAATTGTGCGTAGCTATTGATATCTTTCAAGTGTTTTGGTAATTTGTTATATGTATAGAGATATGCAGTTATGCAAGGTAGATTTTTTGATGGCTGATTTTTTCTGTTTTGGCAATGGTTGTTTCCCAAAACGCTGAAATCTAATGTCTAGTGATTATATGATGAATCATAATGTATCGAGAGCTTATTATAATCTATAGCTAGTGCTTGTATGAAATCTGGAGTATCTAGTGCATTGTCCAAGGAACCATGTTTTGAAGAATATTCTTATTTATTTATTATTACGATGATCGTATAGATGAGTTAGAGGTCATGTGCTAAATTGGCTATTCAACTCATGACCTAATCTGTGTATCTAATGTTGGCAGTAGTACTGAGTTTATTTTCATTTTGCACGATTGATGCAAGGTTATTCGTTTCGTAATAAATTTATAATAGAGCGTGGGAGACTGTTTTGGAAGAAAAGAAAAGTTCTGACAATTTTTGTATCTACAGATATATGTCGACTAAAAAAAAAAATAACAGGTATCTTGTTCTGAGAAATAAAATGACTTCTAATATTAATAGTCTTATACTTACCCTTAGTTAATGCACTCAGTCATTACATGCTAAGACGATAAGGAAAATATTATTGAATCGATCAGTGATTGAAGTCTCCTTAGAAAATCCATTATTTTGTTTTCTTTTGGTGTTAGTCATCCGTATTTATAGATAGATAATTATATAGATAACAAATGAGTAAACTATACTAATTTAGCAATGAAAAATCTCGGTAGCGTTTTGGAATTTGACATTTCATCGCAAACATAAACGTTTCGTTGCTATTCCATTTTGCTAAGAATGATAATTAGGCTCCAAGGCCACGGATTAATGGTATTTGAAAATTAATTCTGAGATAAAACTACTTGAATAAAATAGCCAGTCTGTTTCAAAAAGTATAAGTGGGTAGGTACTGGTGATTTTTTTTTCACTTTTTTATCTATACTCTACTAGTTATCGATTTTGTTGAGTGTGGCTTGGATTTATGAATGATATTTTCGTTCTAAGTTGAATTTAGCTTTTTTTATAATTCACTTTACTTTATATTTAATCAACATTCTGTCCAAATTACAGCTTGCATAGGATAATAACAATAAATAAAATGATTATTGATGAACACTATGAACTATATTCTTTGTTTTTAATGACTTAACACTGTTGATAAAATTGTCAAATGATAGGTAACTTCTAATACATCTTTCAATTCAGAAAATTTCAATAATTGTTCAAATTGTGATAAATTTCAGTTGTCCATTATTCACCTACCTATGTATTCCTTAACTAATGGTTAATTCTCAAATTACTAGTGAAATGAATCATCTTGTTCAATTTGATGTTAGGTTGAAAATTATACATTTGATCTTTTACCACTAGATAGCGTTAATGTTAATATTACCAGGTCATCATGTATTATCCGATATCTTCGATATGGGCGATATACCCGAAGCGTTGAGTTGTCCCATACGTCTGCAGACCGAGAGTGACTGATGAGACTGCTGGACCGAAACAGATCATCATGTATTATCCGATATCTTTGATATGGGCGATATACCCGAAACGTTGAGGTGTCCCAAACGTCTGCAGACCGAGGGCGACTGATGAGACTGGTGGACCGAAACAGTGCTATCTCGCTCTGCTGACGAAGAAGAGACGGAACTTTTATTTTTATTGAAGATCGATATTTTTGTTGCAGATTTGGTAAAAAATCATGACGGACACGAGCCAGGCGGACGCACCGCCGCCCCAGACGAACGGCATTTCCGATATGGATGAGGAGGAGAGGGCGAAAATGCGCCCCGTCGACATCGATGCTGACGTGCGCGAGATGGAGAGACGCAAAAGGGTCGAGGTGAGAATTTTCTCCTTGAAAAATATCCAAAAATAAAAATATAGTATGACAGTTCCAATCATTGAGTTATCTCGGGTGGAACTGTTCAAAATTTGATTCTGTAACTGTTTTCAACTCATATCAATCGTAGAAAAAAATATGCCGTGTGACATCTCTAATGATAGGTCTCGACGTCAAGATTGAGAATTTCGGGGTTGGAACCAAGATCAATATAATTTTGCTACTATTCTCAACTCATTTCAAATGTGGGAATAAATATGCCGTGTGACACCTCTAATGATTTGTCTCGACGTCGGGTTGAAGAAATTCAGGGTTTGAATCACGATGAATATGATTTTGTTACTATTATCAACTTATTTCAACTGTAACAATAAATGTGCCGTGTGACACCTCTAATAATAGGTCTCGACGTTGGGGTGAGGAATTTCAGGGTTTGAATCACAATGAATAGGATTTTGCTACTATTTTCAACTTATTTCTAATGTAAAAATGAATATGTCGTGTGACACCTCTAGGTCTCGAAGCGGGGTGAAAAGTATAGTTTGGATCACGATGATTATGATTTTGCAACTATTTTCAACTCATTTCAAACGTGGAAATATATATACCTTGTGACACCTCTAATGATATGTCTCGACGTCGGGGTGAGGAATTTCAGGGTTTAAATCACGATGAATATTATTTTGCTACTCTTTTCAATTTCAAATGTACAAATAAATATGCCGTGTGACAGCTCTAATGATAGGTCTCGAAGTCGGGGTAGAAAATTTTATAGTTTGGATCACGATGATCATGATTTCCCAACTATTTCCAACTAATTTCAAACGTGGAAAAATATATATACCTTGTGACTCCTCTAATGATAAGTCTTGACGTCGGGGTCAAGAATTTCAGGGTTTCAATCACGATGAATATGATTTTGCTACTATTTTCAACTCATTTCAAACGGAAAAATAAATATGCCGTGTGACACCTCTAATGATAGGTTTCGACGTCAGGGTGAAGAATTTTAGGATTTGAATCACAATTAATATAATTTTGAAAATATTTCCAACTGAATAGTCATTTCAAACGTGGAATTAAATAAATATATTTATGAATGTAATGTTCACTTTCGAATTCATCCATTTTCAAGGTCATCATGAACAGCAGGCTGTTCCGCGAAGAACTCGAACGCATCATCGAGTCGCAACTGAAAGAGGGCTCAGGGGGCACCAGCCACCTCCTCCAGCAAATCTCCGACATGGTGGGCGTCGATGGCAGACAATCGGCCTTCAAGAGCTCCTCGAGCTGCGTCATCCCCGTCAACGATATCAGGGGGGTGGAGGCGATGGGGTACGCCAAGGGCGAGAAGATGCTCAGGTGCAAGCTGGCCTGCCTGTTCAGGCTCATCGACTTGTATGGGTGGGCGTATGGCTCCGGCACGCAGATAACTGCCAGGTGAATTTACCAATTGTTTGCTAAATTTACCAATTGTTTGCTAAATTTACCAATTGTTTGCTAAATATACCAATTGTTTGCTGAGTTTTCTAATTGTTATTTATCAATTATTTGCTGAATGTACCAATAATTTTTTGAATTTACCAATGGTCTGCTGAATTTACCAATTATTTGCTGAATTCACCAATGATTTGCTCCAAGGCACAAATTACTGCCAGGTGAGTGTACTCGCCGTTGGGTGAATTCACCAATCATTTGCTCAATTTACTAATTGTTAGCTGAATTTACCATTTTTTGCTGAATTCACCAATTATTTGCTATATTTACCGATTATTTACAGAATTTACAAATGATTTGCTCACCAAATATTCTCGCACATTTATTACCGTATATTTGCTAAATTCGCCAATCATTCGCTCAGATTATTTAACATTTGATGTATTTACGAAACGCTGTTAAATTTATCTACCTCCAACTAGATGCTGGCCTCTGATTGGCTTGACCCAGAAACCCCATAGCCCCTCTACTTACCAACCTTCTTTTGACTCTACCAACTATTTGCTGAAAACATTGCCTAATTAACCAAATTTGCCAACCTTTTGCTAACTTAAGAAATATTTGCCAACTTCAGCAACCATTTTGTAACCATTTCCTAACTTGATCAACTGTTTGCTAATTATTGTTCCCATCATTTGATGACACTTGCTGAATATATCCACCATTTCTTTGAACTTGTCAAATGTTTGCTGAATTCACCGAACAATTCTGCAGGTTGAACCAGGACGACGAGCAGTTCCTGGTCAACCCCTACGGCATGCTCTTCCACGAGCTGACCGCCTCCAGCTTGATCAAGGTGGACATGCGCGGCGCCATCTTGGAACAGGGCACGACCAACTTTTCCGTCAACATTTCCGCCTTCTCCCTGCACGCCGCCGTCCATTCGGCCCGACCAGACATCAAGTGCATCGTGCACGTGCACACACCCTCCGTGGTGGCGCTGTCGTCGCTCAAGCAGGGGATGTTGCCCCTCAGCCAGGAATCAGTCGTTATCGGTGAGTGGGACTATTTTCAACTCATTTCAAATGTGGAGATGAATATACTTTGTGACACCTCTAATGACATGTCTCGATTTCGGAAATTTGATTTCGCAACTATTTTCAACAAATTTTGGACGTGGGATCAAATATACCGTGTGACACCTCTAATGATAGGTTTCGCCGTCGGGATGAAGAATTTCAGGGTTTCAATCACAAAAAATATGATTTTGCAACTATTTTCAACTAATTTCAAACTTGGAAATGCTTATACCGTGTGACACCTCTAATGACAGGTGTCGACGTCGAGATTGAGAATTTCAAGGTTTCAATCACTGAACGTGATTACGCAACTATTTTTCAACTTATATCGTCATCAAGTGCATCGTGCATGTGCACACATCCTCCGTGGTGGCGCTGTCGTCGCTGAAGCAGGGGATGTTGCCACGCAGCCTGGAATCGGTCGTTATCGGTGAGTGGGACTATTTTCAACTCATTCCAAATGTGAAAATGGATATACTTTGTGACACCTCTAATGAAAGGTCTCGATGTCGGAAATTCGATTTCGCAACTATTTTCAATTCATTTCGAACGTGGGATTGAATATACCGTGTGACACCTCTAGTGATAGGTCTCGCTGTCGAGATGAATAATTTCAGGGTTTCAATCACAAAAAATATGATTTTGCAAGTATTCTCAACTAATTTCAAACTTGGAAATGATTATATCGTGTGACACCTCTAATGACATGTCTCGACGTCGAGATGGAGAATTTCAAAATGTCAATCACAATGAATTTGATTATGCAACTATTCTTCAACATATTTCGTCACCAAGTGCATCTTGCACGTGCACACACCCTCTGAGGTGGCGCTGTCATCGCTCAAGCAGGGGATGTTGCCTCTCAGCCAGGAATCAGTCGTTATAGGTGAGTGGGACTATTTTCAACTCATTTCAAACGTGGAAATGATTATATCGTGTGACACCTCTAATGAAAGGTCTCAATGTCAGAAATTTAATTTTGCAACTATTTTCAACTCATTTCGAACGTGGGATTAAATATACCGTGTGACACCTCTGATGATAGGTCTCGCTGTCGAGATGAATAATTTCAGGGTTTCAATCACAAAAAATATGATTTTGCAAGTATTCTCAACTAATTTCAAACTTGTAAATGATTATATCGTGTGACACCTCTAATGACATGTCTCGACGTCGAGATGGAGAATTTCAAAGTGTCAATCACAATGAATTTGATTATGCAACTATTTTTCAACTTATTTCGTCACCAAGTGCATCTTGCACGTGCACACACCCTCTGAGGTGGCGCTGTCGTCGCTATAGCAGGGGATATTGCCACGCAGCCAGGAATCGGTCGTGATCGGTGAGTATGGGAAAGTGCACCTACTTTCAACCCATTTCGAACGTGGAAATAAATACACCGTGTGACACCTCTTAGGAAGGGTCTCGACGTCGAAAATTTGATTTTGCAACTAGTTTCAATTCATCTCAAACGTGTAAATAAATATATCGTGTTGCACCTCGAAGGACAGGTCTCGACGTCGAGATTAAGAATTACAGGGCATAAATCGCAATAAATTTGATTTCGCAACAATTTTCGACTCATTGCAGGCGTGGAAATAAATATACCTTGTCACAACTCTAATGACAGGTCCCGACGAAGGGATGAAGAATTTTAGGGTTTCAATCATAATGAATTTGTAAATTCAACTATTTCAACTCAACTTGTAGGTAAACATAATCATACAGTGTGACCCCTCTAATGATAGGTCTCGACATCAACAAGAAGACACTCACGTCCATTCTTCACTCGCGCTATCTCCTGAAAAAAAAAACTACAAATACCCCGATTATTTCGTTTTGCAGGCGAAGTCAGCACGCACACCTACCTGGGTGGTCTCTTGGACCCCGAGGAGAAGGACAAACTGGCCAGGAACCTCGGCCCCAACAACAAGGTGCTGCTGCTCGCCAACCAGGGGGCGCTGTGCTGCGGCGAGACCATCGAGGAGGCGTTCTTCAACGCTCGCAACACCGTCTTGGCCTCCGAGTCGCAGCTCAAACTCATGCCGATCGGTATTGACAATCTCGTGTTGATCAGCGACGAGATCAGGTGAGTAAGCGATCGATTCGAAAAAGAGAGTAGGATGATAAAGAGCAGAAAAAGACACGGTATCAGAATTAAATTGATGATAAACCAAGAACTGTCGAGGAGTATGGAAGTTGAAAGTATGCGGAAGAGAAGTAGAAAAAACAACGAAAATTATTGAGAGAGCAAAAATGAGCGAAGGTGATGATGAGTTAGAAAGCAAAAATGAGTAAGACAGTGATAATGAGTGAGAGAGTCATAGCATTTTTACTAGAAATTAGTGTTCTTGCTTATTGCCTGTAGAAAGGTTGCATAAACCTTTATCTTCGGATATTAGGCACAATATCTACATTAAAATATGATGTATTGGAATAATTTGAAAGGGTTGGTAGCAAGAACATATTATTACCTAGTCAGAAAATAAATTGAACAGCAGGGAATTATTGATCCTTAAGTGATTAAAATGTTATAATTTTTCGTTTGTTGATGTCCGATGATTCAAAATTGAGTTTTATTCCTTTATTTTCTACATGTGGAATTTCGAAATTTCTTTTTCAAAAAATCAATTCTATGTTCATGAATGCGTTGATTGAACGTTCGACCTGTCTGACTGATATATCCCTGATTCTTCAAATTTAGTAGTTTTGTCTTAATTATTTTTAATAAACCTTTCCATCGTGTTATTTCTTCTATAGGCAACTTTCAAGTCCTGTTTATGTAGAAATGAAGCTAATTTTCCAGTTGATGATATAAAAACAGTTAAAGTTCTATAATTTTGATTGAGATAGTGGAATAAACTTCTGGAATTGCTTTATCACGGAGTTTTTTGGAAATGATATTACTGTCTATCAAATCAACTGTGTATCATTATTATATGCTGCAATTTTATGTTGATAAGAGTGTGTTGAATCATTATGAATAGTGATATCAGTGTGGGAGGGTGTATGGCAAATAGAAAAAATGAGAAAACGATAGTAAATGAGTGTGTCGTCGCCAGGAAACGGATGTACGACGCGGCCCACAACCCGCCTGAGAGCACGCCCCGCCCAGACGCGCCCACCATAATGGAGTCGAAGGTGGAGCGCAAATGGCGCGTGGGCGGTGCCGAGTTCGAGGCGCTGATGCGCATGCTCGACAACGCCGGCTTCCGCACCGGCTACATCTATCGCAGGCCGTTGGTCAAAGGGGAGCCGCCCAAGCCGCGCAACGATGTCGAGGTGCCGCCCGCGGTGTCCTCGTTGGGGTATTTGTTGGAGGAGGAGGAGTTGTACAGGCAGGGGTGAGTTGGGGAAGGCACAGAATAGATTTTTATTTGAACAAGTTACAATTTTGTTTGTAAAATGGAATCCCCCCTTAACTCCTTCGTTTTCAGAGACATGAAAAAATGTTGAATAAAAAACGACCCAAACTTTTATTTCGTAAAGTTGTTTCATATACAGGGTCATTCGTTTTTCCAGAAAGGACAATAGCTTTGATTCTTTCAATGAAACGCCCTATATAATTCACGACATGTCGATAGATATAACAACTCAATTATTTTCCATCCAAATATGCAACTCATATATTTTTGAAATCAGAAAAAAAAAGGTTCTATCGACATGTCACAAAACATATAGGGTGTTCCATTGAAACAATCAAAGTTATTGTCCTGTCCGGAAAAATGAATGAACCTGTATATGAAGCAAATCACAAAATTAAAAATTGGGTCTTTTCAAACAACTTTTCAATTTGATATTTTTTGACATCTCTGAAAACAATAGAGTTAAGGGGGGTTCCATTTTGAGGGGCACACCCTGTACAAAAAGTTATTTGAAAACGATCAAAAAATATTTACCTACACAATTCGAGAACATGAATTTGTAATGAATATGAACATGAATTTTCGGATTTTATCCTGGAGGGCGTTTTTTTTATAGAAGGCGCACGAATTCTATACACTATTTGTTCCAGTAGGACGGAAAGTTGCCCAAATGGGTTGTTCCATAGGCATTCTATAACTTCATCAACAAGCTCATCAAATGTTATTTCAATTCCAGAAAGCCTAATTTGTGTTTCAGAGTTATCGAGATTGATTTGTGAGATTTTCACTATGATACCCCTCATTGGGTGCCAGAAAATATGGGGCCTCACGTTGGGCGCCAAAAAAATACGATCTCCCACCACGCTGAGTACCAATAAATATGAGATCTCACTTTGTCATTTGGATTTCAGAAAGCGTCTTTTGTGTTTCAGAGTCATCAAGGTTGATTTATGAAATGTTCAGTACTCTTGAGAATTTCGCGAGGTGAACTCTATTTTTAAAATTGGCCTCTCCATACTTCTTTGTATTACTATATTCTTTTTGATAAAGGAATTCAAGAGTCAACAAATTTCTGTGGTTTAAAAATCGTGTACATTTTTCAAAATACGGGCACTCACGTTGGGCGGCAAAAATACGAGGCCTCATCTTCACGACATTTTAATATGATCCACGGATCAGATTACTTGGTACATATTTCGGACATATATATGTCCATCCTCAGCCTAATCAAATTACTACATCTCTGTCCTAGATTAAAAGTGAATAAGTACAAAAATTTGTTTTTATTTGGTAAAAGAATGCTTACGTGAGAATTTCCATGAAGACATTCTTGTATCAAATAAAAAAAAATTCACTCTTTCACTTTCATTCTAGGACAGAGATGTTGTAATTTGATCAGGCTGAGGATGGACATATATATGTCCGAAACATGTACAAAGAAATGTGATCTATGGATAATATCAAAATGTCGTGGTGATGACTTCGAGTATTATTTAGTAGATACTACTTCACTCCACTTTGAGAAACTATGGACTTCTACCAAAGATTATATTCTCTTTGATGAAGAAAATTAAGAATCAACAAACATTTACGTTTGAAAACATCGTATATTCATGTTTTTCTAAAATACGAGGCCTCACGTTGGGCGCCAAAATGATAGCATATTGGGAGCCATATTGAGATAATTATATTTTTTCAAGGCTGTGGAGAAAATTGGAAGGTGGCAGGAAGGGCAACGACCGCAGCCGTTGGTTGAATTCCCCGAACAGCTACCAGAAAGTGGAAATTCTGGAAACTGGTACCCAGGATCCCAAGAAAATTACAAAGGTAGAATACCTCAAAATTGAGACTAAGGAATAAATACTAATTCTTGTCAATCGGTGAAAATTGCTTTTTTTTCCTTTACATTATTCAATTTTGTAATACGTATTTTTGTCAGTAAGGAGAAAAGGAGCGAGTTTCAATGTGTTAATTTCACATTCCTGTAAGTGTAGGTTTATAGCTTTGTTGCTAGAAACTTCATCCAAAGATTTGTGGTGGCAGAATTACGTTAAAAAAATAGTACATGCCCGATATGAGTTCGGTAACGGAAACTTCACCTTCAGTTTTTAGTCAACTTTATTGACAGCTAGAAATTAATGTTCTGTGAGGAAATGATACTGGTATCCGGAACTAAGTAAGATTTGTAATAATAATTTTGGTGTCTATATTTTGTGATTTTATGATATTGAGAAAGATTGAGATTTATTTTTCTGAAGAGTAAAGTATATTATTTGTGCAATAATCATTGACAGAAAGTTCACAAGTATATGTCATATTATAGTTTATATTAGTGATTTGTGTTAGCTTTTTCCAAGTAAATGTTTCATTTGTTGCAGAGCTGGGTAAGTACTCATTCGATAATTATTTACCTTTATTTTTATCCACGAGAATTTTTGTTGTAATTTTCCGTCGATACATTTTAAATATATTGATGAATAGTTGATTCATGAGGTAGTTTGCAAATATAATTTTTATCTAATTTCTCGGTTCTGATAAGATAAACCTGTATTTAAATAACTATATCAACCGTTTTTGAATGTTTTGTGATATGCTGTGATTATTTTTGATTCTTCTTGATTATTTCACCCGAAAATGGAAAAAAAAATTCCGTGATGATTTTGTGTAGTTGTTTTTTACTTCCTCTTTCAAAATGAAATGAAAGAATTTTTTATACACAGTACTTGAGTACATTTTCATATGAATGGCCCAGCTCTGATCAAAATGGTGTGAGTTCCAGTGAATCTTTTATACAGGGAGAGTAACCATTTTGTGAAAAAATGAATGGGGATAGTTTATTGATTTTTAGTCTTACTATGAGGACTCAAATAATATCACAATTTGTGTTGAACGAAATTCTCAGGAAAGGCCAACTGATGATGTTTTGGTTCGTTCACAAAAACGAATCCCTGTATAAAAAATCACAGATCTTGAGTACAATAATTTATGCAGCTAGATTTCTCGCATAGCCAACTGATCTAGATTAAAATAATTCCGTACAAAAGTGTGCCATTACATAATCGTTTCTGTATCAATTTTTTGAAATATGTTGGGGGATATTTTTAACACTTTACTTTATTAATTCCATCTACAGCATGTCCCACCTTAGATATGCCCCTTTTTATTTCGGCCCTGTCGTGATTTCACTCAATCTTGAATTGATACCAATGAATATCATCAGCTTTCCATATATTGTTTTGAATAGTACTGTTCGTTTTTATTGAATTTAAGGGGTTTATTACGCATATTTGAAGTGGGACAAGCTATTTTACAACTCATTAGGTAGTAAGGCTTGATATATTTTGCTTGGCTTGAAGAATAAATTGAATAGATTTAACAAGTGTCATTATTTTATTAATCCTCTAACCTCAATTTCATGTTCAAGACGTGCCTCAGTAATTGTTACTAAATATTAATTTCTCAAAATGTTTGCTTCAACAAATTAATGCTTGATATCTGTTACAAAATAATTGACATAAAAAATATGTGTAACTCTTATAGTGTGCTTAATTTGTTGTACTTGTCAAGTTGATTCTGGGATGTGGCAAAACCAGCACATTGTACAAACGCTTCCATGTTTTCCAATCGAAATTGTTTTCCCTTGTCCAATTGACATTTCACAACAATCTGGCACACTTTTTTGGCTTTTTTTTGGTCACCGGCTGTATTATTTGACAACTCTGATGTGCTGGTTTTGTCTTTTCAGTGGGTAGCCGAAAATTCACCCAGTCATTCGAGTACACCTGTCAGAATCGAATCAGCCCTTCAGTTTGTGCCGAAGGGCACTAATCCCAAGGAGTTCAAATTCAAACAACAAGCGGTAAGTGTCATTCCAAATAATAAGACCAATAATATTTATACTCTCCTCAAATCTTGTGTCATTTTTTAAGAATTGTTGTTTGTTGTTTATAAGTTTCTAATGTAAATAACAAGTCTTTGTGTTATACTTTTGAACTGTATATTGTTCTCTTCAAATCAAAAGCACTCGAAAAGCACGCCGATGTAAGAATCATCATATAGAAAACGTCTCTATGCTTGCTTAGTAAGCAGTTTCTCATCTTTACCATATGCAGTGCTTTCATTTATATATTTTAAATAAACAAATATAATGGGCGCCATTTCTAGATATTGAACGATAATAATTACATTGGTTCAAATTTCATTTTTGTCTACATACACAGTGGACTGTGTATTTCCAACAGCTTCCATAGTTCAATAGTTCATTAATTACTCTCAGTCCTTTGATGAGATTTTGTAATTTGTTTCTAGCTACAGTGGACATACAAATGTTTGGTCCTTGAGACGCCTACTTTTGAGGTGCTATAACACTTGAACTTGATTTTTTTGAGACCATGTACCACATTTTTGAATTTGCTGTACAGGGTAATTCCCTATATTTAAACACCTTCTACATGGTTCATCTTTGAAGATATAAAAAAAACTTCAAATATAAAAGTTGTAGGGTTTCTCCAGCCAATTTTACAAGGTGAAACAAATTAATATCGCTAATATAAGAAATAGGTGCCGACTTCGTTATTGTCAGTTGAACACCCTATATATTTTTCGAAAAAATTTTAGATCTTTTTTTTTCTGGTTTCAAAAATATATAGATTGTTGATATTCAATCCACAAGTTTATGAAATATTCAAGGTCGAACATTTTAGAATAATTAGTCATAGGTTTTATTTTACAACAGTAAAACATCACATAATTATGCTGGTTGTCCTTAATCAAACTTTGTGTCATGTTTTCTTTTCCTATATATGTTAATTCTTCATGGCAACTGATATTTGGTAAAACCAAATAGTAACTAAAAAATGTTCAACCTCGAATATTTCGGAAAAGGCTGAACCGAATATCAAGAACCTATATATTTTAGAATCAGAAAAGCAAGATTCTCAATTTTTTTCACAAAAAAAAGGTTGTTCCATTAAAAATAAAGAAGTTGGTACCCATTTCTTATAACAGCGATATTAATTTGTTTTATCGCGTACAATTTTCTGGAGGTTCAGAAGAAACCCTACAACTTTTGTGTTTGAAGTTTTTTTCTATCTTCAATGATGGACCATGTAGAAGCTTTTTAATTATACGGAATGATCCTTTACAAACATAATCATTGTGTGTGTCTTTCGTGTAGATCAAAGATTACCGAAGAGCCGATAAGATATCGGCAGGGCCCCAATCACACATTCTGGAAGGGGTGACGTGGGAAGAAGCGAAAAAAATGCAGGACGCGACAGTAACGCAAACAGGAGATCAGGTAAATATAAATATGGTGACTACTCGTTATTTCATCGCGAGTAAGTCTTCCTGACATTATAATTCGTCAAAGTGTGAGTGAGTCGAGCGCTAGACTACATTTTGTTGAAATGAATCGTCAGCGAGATACTACACACTACACTTTGTTGAGGAGTGAGTGAGTCGAGTGCTAGACTACATTTTGTTGAAGTGAGTCGCTAGCGAGGTACTACATTTTGTTAAGGAGTGAGAGAGACTACACTATGTTAAGGAGTGAGTGGATGGGTGAGTTGGGATCGAAATTACAGTTTGTTGAAGCGTAAGTGAGTGAGTCGAGCAGTGGCCAACATTTTGTTGAGTGAGTTGCTACAGATACACTACACTTTGTTCAGGATAAGTGAATGAGTCGAACACTAGGCTACACTTTGTCAATGGGAAAGTGAGTCGTCCACGAAGCCCTACACTTAATTGACGATATCATTGAGTGGGACGGGCTTGAGGCTACACTTTGTTGAGGAGTGAGTGAGTGGCACTACAATTTGTTTAGGAATGAGTTGATGAGTAAGTTGGGCATGAGTATACATTTTGTTGAGGGATGATTGAGTGAATCGAGCACTAGACTACACTGTGTTGAAGGAGTGAGTGAGTCAAGAGTCGTCCAAGAGATTAAACCTTGTTGAGGAGTGAGTGATTTGAGTATGAGATACTCTTTGTTGAGGAGTGAGTGAGTAGAGCACTAGACTACATTTTGTCGAAGTGAGTCGCTATCGAGGTACTACATTTTGTTAAGGAGTGAGAGAGACTACACTATCTTAAGGAGTGAGTGGACGGGTGAGTTGGGATCGAAACTACAGTTTGTTAAAGCGTAAGTAAGTCGAGCAGTGGCCAACATTTTGTTGAGTGAGTCGGTACCGATACACTACATTTTGTTCAGGATCCAGTGAATGAATCGAACACTAGGCTACACTTTGTTCATGGGAAAGTGAGTCGTCCACGAAGCCCTACACTTAATTGACGATATCATTGAGTGGGATGGTCTCCAGGCTACACTTTGTTGAGGAGTGAGTGAGTGGCACTACATTTTGTTTAGAAGTGAGTAGATGAGTAAGTTGGCCATGAGTATACATTTTGTTGAGGGGTGATTGAGTGAATCGAGCACTAGACTACACTGTGTTGAAGGAGTGAGTGAGTCAAGAGTCGTCCAAGTGATTAAACCTTGTTAAGGAGTGAGTGATTTGAGTATGAGATACTCTTTGTTGAGGAGTGAGTTGAGCACTATAATTCATTTTGTTGGGATTGAGTGAGTCGCCCGCGAGATACTACATTTTGTTAAGGATTGAGTGAGTAAAATGAGTGAGTGAGTGAGACTACAATTTGTTGAGGAATTAGTCGAGCGTTAGACTACACTTTGATAAAAGTGAGTGAGTCGCGAACGAGACTACACTTTGTTGTAATAATAATTTCTGCTACACCTGCTAAAGAGTGCCAGTTCAGCGTAAAAGAGAGGTACTACATTCTGATAACGAAACTGTTGCATTAAATGTTTTGAAAATTTTTGGAAAGTATACAATTTGAAATGTACTAGGTGGTGTTGATGGGTGCTGCTTCAAAGGGTATTATCCAAAGGGGACACCAGCACAACGCAATGGTGTACAAATCGCCGTACGCGAAAAATCCCTTCGATTGCGTTACTGACGAAGAATTGGACGAATACAAGAAGGTTGTCGAGAAAAAATCGAAAGGAGAATGTGAGTGACAGATTGTAAAATTTTTGTCTCGTCTGACTTTTCATATATTTTCAGACGATACCGACTTTAGCGAATCAGAAGGACTTTCTTCTGCAGCATTGAACAAAAGAATGGATGAGGTGCACATAAGATCACCTACGTCTGTCACCAGTGAGACGGAAGAGGAAAGCAGAGATGGTGGGTAGTGATGAAGTTTTTGACTTTATTTATCACTATGGTCGTAATTTCTTTTCAGAGCCTCAAATTCTACGGATAGAAACGAAAACAGCACCTAGACCTAGTCAGCCAGAAGTAGTGTTAAGCGATGGTAAGCATAGTTCTATATTCTTTTCATTCTGTAGAATTGATATCAATGTTGTAGTGCTCTATTTTTTCGGCGTATATACTCATGATGAAACTATAAAATTCTAAGACAAATGATGAATAGTTTCTTATCTCTCTATCTCTATCTACATTTGAACTAAGTGTTTTGTTTTTATCAGTTAATTATATTAAATGATGGACCAGGGGTAAGTGTTCATCATTTCAGAGGTCATTTCAGTAGAAAGTTTCAAAATTTTCTCATTACAGGTTGTTCATTTTTCTGATTACATGACAAATAACTCTTTCCTTGAGTGATTCATAAAGATCTTTGTTGATGTAAAATCCTCAAATAAATTTACTGCCACAAGGAATGAGTGAAGTATTGAATTATTCATAAATGATTCATAGTTTAGCATAGATAGTTTCATTCATTGTTTAATATCCTCTGCCAATAATAAATAGCTTCACTTCATCCTTTCAAGCCTCCTAGTGTTTTTTCTTATTTTATTTGATAAGTGCTTCCAGCTAGAATTCAAAATTAATAAATTATGTATTTAAATTATAATTTACTAAGACAAAATGTAAAAACCATGAGATTCAATTTGGTAACCTAAATCGAATTATCGAATTTTGTTAATAGTTCAATCTGAAAAGAATCAGCTGGTGACAACGGATTTTCAACAATGATAGAGAACCACGTGATAGATTACTATGCAACCATTCATATCTCTTTGAAGTGGGTATTGAAAATGGTCATGTGGCACTCAATCATTGTTGACGACCCGGTAGTATATAGTAAATACACTTTCCAACGAGTTATTCACACCGTTTTCCTCACAATCATGGAAAACATAGGACAGAGACCTATTGATATTCCATTGGTTATGTCCACATAACAGATTGAGTTTTACATTCTTGTCTTTCTTTTTTTTTTCTCTTTGATGAAGCATGATTTTATAGCATGTTTTTTTTGTTTTCGCATGATTAGATTCTCCAGTAGATAGGTTCCTTAGAGCTGAACGGATATCAGTAGACAGTTACAAGGGTAAGTAGCATTAGTTATTTTAGTATGAATGTGTCCACTAACGCTTACTCACTCAACTAACCCGTCGTCTCTCTCGCTTATAATAACTTTTCGTTGTTCTTCCTTCCGAAATACCACAGATACCGTACGGTACATTTCAACGTTGGAAACAAATCTATCACCCTCCGAATCTCTTTCAGGTTATAAAGCCGTAGTACCGACCTACAGGACTTACAGCCATGCCGGATTCCCCAAAGGGTCCTATTTGATACCCAACCCCACCCACTTCCATATCGCTCGCCAAACCCAAATCGCCATACAACGCCCTCTATTAGTCAAAGTCAACCCCCACAAATCCTCTCAGTACCTTTTCAATCACGGCAGAAGAAACTCAACCGTCACCATAGACTTGGGCAACTCGCGTACAGTCTCCGTCAATATACCATTACACACCCTCACTGGCTTCATTTACCCCTTCGCCAATGCCCTCAATTACAGAAGAAGCACGGGGCTGAGCAACAACGGGACTCAAACCGCCTACATGCAAAACTTCGAGCACCTTCGCGAAGTCGACAAAGTCGCTTACACCCCCATCTACGTTGACAGCTACAAGACCTGTCACACGCAGCCGGAGAGCTGTCAAAAGTCCGCCTCGTTCGAGCAACAGGTGCTCGACAACATGCAGCAACAGATGCTGGAGCTGACTCAGAGCACCGAATCGGAGTACGATTCTGTCGAGATTATCGACGACACTCAGTACGAGTCTGCGAAGGATCTAGTGGATTTTACCGAAGACGACCAAGAGATCAACGAGAGTTTGGTGGAGTTGACGCCGGAGGTAGCTGCCATGCTTCCGAGCACCGACAGCAGCTCCACAGCTTCAGGAACTAACCTCACTTACGTCAAGAGGAATCCGCAAGACGAGTCGTTCGATGTGGACGAGGGCATTGGGGAATGTACCTTGACAAATGACACTTTGAGCAAAGACAAAAGTAGCGAGGGGAGTGTGGAAGATGCCGTACAGGAGATGTCGAAGATGATCGTGGAGTACTTGATCGAGCAGTGCTTTGAACTGAAAGAGCTTATTTTATTTCCCGAAGTGCTGCACGATCCTAACCTAACGAAGCTTCTCGCGAAGCTGTTGAACGTTTACGCTTATTATTACGGGGATAGCTTGGGGGATGAGGAGAAAACGGAGGTCAGAGTTTCGGTGGCCAAGCAAACCTTGAAGATGGCCGAGTCAGATGACAGATTGAACACGTCCGGAGAGTCTGGCTCGTCCAACGGCGTTTCCGATAAGATCTTTAGCATTTCCGAGTTCATGAACGATATCCTGGATCGCTTTTTCGCCTCCGTGGAAAACGGGTGCCAGTTTTCCGAGTTTGCCAAGGTGTTGGAGGCAGATGAAGGGGAGTTGTTGCAGTCTACTCCCGAGGTGGGTAGGATTAGAAAGCTTGCGGAAGACGATAACTTTGAGATCACGACGTTCCATAAGCGGACTATCTCGAGTTCTGGTACCGAGTTGTACTGGATGTCGATATCGCCTTCGAAAACGACGACAACAGCTGAGATAACTCCTGCTAGACCTGTTATGAACATTGACGATATTCCTTTGAAGCCACCAGACCAATTGCAGAGACCTGTCATCAACATTGACGATATTCCTTTGAAGCTGCCAGACCCATTGCGGAGACCATTGTCTCCTATAGTGGAGGAGTGTCGCATGAACCTCTTCGATAGTTATTATTTGGGAGATTTTGGATCGAATGATTCTGTGAGTGACAAATACGATATTGTAGATGAGGAGGATGACAGAATTAATTTAGAGAAGCCTCCTGCTAAGTTTGTCTTGTTGAACGAAGTCAATTTTCTCAGAAGTAAAAATGTTGGTGGAAATTCGTATGTTCAGACTAAGACAGCTCTGTTCAAGGGTCGCTATGTTGAAGATAAAGAGAATGATCCTGTGAATTTGGATGATTCTGGAGATTGGTCGGGATACGATGCTGCGAGATTTTAGTTTGGAGTTCGTTTTTAGGTTTTATACAGTATATAATTTTCAGAAACAGGTGTATTTTTTAAGAAGATATTTGAATGTGGATAAGAGAAATCTTTGAATATATGTTTTATTATGAATATCGTTTCAGTGGATTGAGGAAGAGTGGTCCGCAATTTTTATTTTAGCACAAAAAATTGTTCAGTGGAAACGTAGGGTTTTGTAAAAATTCATTTCAATCGGGTGAGGGTTTTTGAAAATAACGCGGAAACTAATTCTCTAATTTGGGAGTTTTTTGACATGACAATATGAAAGATTTAGAGTTTCTGTCAAAGACATCTTTATTTATCTCTCTTCAAATTCGTCTTGAATATTCAGAGAAAGTAAGTTTCTGAAATTAAAATTGTTGCAACTTTGTTGCTAATGAATATTTGTCATTGAAATCTTGAGACTCTCATAATTGGAGGCTTCTGAAATCATTAGTAGTAATGTCAAAAGTTCAAATTCAATAATACTTGCCTGAATTTCAAATAAATTCGTAGATGACTGTTTCTGCATTTCAAAATGTTGCACGATTAACACAAACATACTCAATAATCTTCATTAGAATTAGCTTAGAATGTAATTTTTCGTGGTAAATTGGATAGCACGTGATATTCAAGATCCCATTTGACGTTTCAAGTGAACTAACCCATGTAAATATTAGCTTGGGAGGATTCATCTAAGGTAATCTTTATTGTATCTTTTTTCATTGCATGTTTCTGTAAATACGAATATTTTTTCCAACTAACTCTTCAAGTTTATATATATTTGTTTATGTGTTGATTTATTTTTCCTAATTTCAGGTGAAAACACTGTCAATGGAGATCACTCAGACGCTCACATGAGTACCCTTTCTCAGAGTAGTAAAGAGGTGAGAATTTCACAAACTACAAATTAATATGTTGTGGGCAAATTTTTTTCACTGGCATTTACATTACACTATGACAAAAAATGCATTATCAGGGATTCATGAACGAAATGGAAGGGGGATTTGGGAAATTTGAATTCGTTATTCAAAAAATAGTTGAAGAGTAAATTAATAAATTGCGATACATTTTTGATGATGAACATTTGGATGTTTGTATTGCTTCCCTTGCTTCAATCTCTTGTATTATAATTGTTATGGATGTATGTAATATAGATCAAATAGGTGTGAGAGCACAATTTATTATCCAGTTAGTAGATCAGCCCTCATAAGCCTTATATTAGCGTACTTTTTGGTCCTTCGAGCCGGATATATGGCTTATAAAGGCTGATAGACTAACTGGCTGATAGATTGTGCTCTCATACTCGTGTGATCTTTATGACTAACCAAGTTTCTTCCATAGGATCACTCAATTTCTGAAGGGTCTCCAAAGAAGGACAAGAAAAAGAAGAAGGGGCTGAGAACTCCATCGTTCTTGAAAAAGAAGAAGGAAAAGAAAATCCGTGAAGCATAGGTGATTATTTTAATCTTTTCCACAAGGTGAAGATGATGAAGTCTGATACGAAAATATTAATTTGATAGATGGCGTTATATCATTCTGATTCTTTGATAGTATGAACGGTATTTAAAAAAGTCGAGTAATTTCTATAAAATTCTTCACAATAACCTGTTAAACAATGACATGCCCTTATGTTGGGACCACCTGACAGTAAAAAGGGAGATCAATATGTATATTATATAAAACAACGAATTCAATAGCGGCAAATTACTGACCAGTCGTGAACAATTGATACATGTTTAACCTTATTAAAAAATCCTTATGTAATGCCTTGTTTATTTTTGTCAGGAACTGCCTCGGACGGACCAAGTCGTTAAATGCCTCCATCATCAGACTGCCAGCAACTCATTTAGTATAGTAATTCGGGTGCAGCGGCTAAGATATTTTGCACTAATCATGTCGATGAACATTGTTTGGTCACATCTATAAAATTATATTGAATTTAAATTATATTTTAGCTTTATCTGTACAGGAAAACTATTAAGATTTTATTATCAATTTAACTTTCAAAGTGCGACATAGTGGTGGATTAATATATTATCTATACTATACTATAGAAAATAGGGAAATGTAGCGAAGTGAACAATTCAATTTTGTTTTCAACTGACATCACTGGGTAGTAACTTTGGAACCTTTGAATTGTTTGTTTCGTGCGATATATGCTATTTTTATTTATGTACATTTTCAGCTTTTATCATTGACTATGCTATTGTTTTGTTATTATAGATTATTCAGAGAAATGTGCAAATAAATAGTTGATTATATATATATTTTAAGGCCATAATTTTTTGTGATGGGAGTGGGAGCACATTTTCTTACAATTACTTTATACATACTCTTCAATAGCCTGCACAAACGACTCTTTTTATAAATATGTTTTCTTAATATTTAAGAAATAAACCGCTTTTTCCCGCTGTACACTAGTTTTTTTCATCACCCCTACGAAATCTTAATCATTATTCCTCGAGTATTTCCATCTTCTGATTATATCGACATAAACGGGTCATGCGATCTTCTCTACAATTTTTTTTTCAATGTTGAGAGCGAATATCTCGGAAAACAAATTGAGATATGTCAGCCCATTCTGGCGTGGCAAGGTGTTAACCTTATTTCTTTTCATGACTCAGAAATCAACTTTGTTGTAGGGCGCTTGAATTCGGTATGCAGGGTCCTTAACGGATGCCCTAGTACGGAGTAGAAGCACAGCTCTCTAGCTGTTATAGAAAAACAGTAGCTATTTTTCACCTGCTTTTCTTGCATTGCGGTACCTCTAATACGAATGTCTCGATCTGGTATCTACCTGAATTAACTGGATATTGACCAAATTTTGTCAGTTTTTGATCGCAAATAACTCAAGAACCAAGGGAAATGAAGAAGAACGGACCTCAGATTCTTGTTCAGCACATCGAAAACACCCTGTATACAAGTTTTCAGCGTATTCTGAAGTCTTGAGAAGGATGAAAAAAGTTCAAAGGGGTTAACCTTGTTTCATTTCCAGACCCAAAAATCAACTTTGTCGTAGGGCCTTCAAATCTGGTATACAGGGTCCTTAAGGGATGCCCTAGTGCGGAGTAGAAGCACAGCTCTCTAGCTTTTATAGAAAAAAGTAGCTATTTTTCACTCGCTTTTCTTGCATTGCGGTACCTCCAATACGAATGTCTCGATCTAGTACCTTCCTGAGTTGACTGGATATTGACCAAATTTTGTCAGTTTTTGATCGCAAATAACTCAAGAACCAAGGGAAATAAAACGGAACGGACTTCAGATTCTTGTTCAGCACATCGAAAACACCCTGTATACAAGTTTTCAGCATATTCTGACGTCTTGAGTAGGATGAAAAAAGTTCAAAGGGGTTAACCTTGTTTCATTTTCAGCCCCAGCAATTAACTTTGTCGTAGGGCCTTCAAATTCGGTATACAGAGTCCTTAAGGATTGCCCTAGTGCGGAGTAGAAGCACAGCTCTCTAGCTCTTATAGAAAAAAAGTAGCTATATTTCACCTGCTCTTCTTGCATTGCGGTACCTCCAACATAAATGGCTCGATCTAGTACCTACCTGAATTGACTGAGTATCGTTGGTATGAGATCTACGCTGAATTTGTGACGGAAGGAAATAATTCACGTTCACGTATTTTGCCCACGAAAAGAGATTCTCGTCCATCATTTCAGCGATCTTTCAGACAATTTTTTCACTTTTTGATAGCAAATATCTCGGGAACCAAGTGAGATAGAGACAAGAGGACTTCAGATTCCTGTTCAGCACATCGGGAACGCCCTGTATGCAAAATTTTAGTCCATTCTGACGCCTCTAGGAGGATGAAAAACGTTCAAAGGGGTTAACCTTGTTTCATTTTCAGACCCAAAAATCAACTTTGTCGTAGGGCCTTTAAATTTGGTATACAGGGTTCTCAAGGGATGCCCTAGTGCTGAGTAGAAGCACAGCTCTCTAGCTTTTATAAAAAAAAAGTAGCTATATTCGACCTGCTTTTCTTGCATTGCGGTACCTCCAATATGAATGACTCGATCAAGTACCTACCTGAATCAACTGGACATTGATTTATGAGAAATACTGAATTTTTGGCGAAACTAAATCAAATCTTGGCCATCATTCCAACGATCTTTCGGACATTTTTTTCAGTTTTTGATCGCAAATAACTCAGGAACCAAGGGAGATAAAAAGAAACGGACTTCAGATTCTTGTTCAGCACATCGAAAACACCTTGTATACAAGTTTTCAGCATGTTCTGACGTCTTGAGTAGGATGAAAAAAGTTCAAAGGGGTTAACCTTGTTTCATTTTCAGACCCAAAAATCAACTTTGTCGTAGGGCCTTCATATTTGGTATACAGGGTCCTCAAGGGATGCCCTAGTGCGGAGTAGAAGCACAGCTCTCTAGCTTTTATAGAAAATAAGTAGCTATTTTTCACCTGTTTTTCTTGCATTGCAGTACCTCTAATACAAATGGCTCGATCTAGTACCTACCTGAATTGACTGAGTATCGTTGGTATAAGATCTACACTGAATTTGTGACTGAAGGAAATAATTCACGTTCACGTATTTTGCCCACAAGAGATTCTTGTCCATCATTTCAGCGATCTTGCAGACAATTTTTCACTTTTTGATAGCAAATATCTCGGGAACCAAGTGAGATAAAGACAAAAGGACTTCAGATTCCTGTTCAGCACATCGAGAACACCATGTATGCAAAATTTCAGCCCATTCTGACGCCTCGAGTAGGATGAAAAAAGTTCAAAGGGGTTAACCTTGTTTTTTTTTTCAGACCCAAAAATCAACTTTGTCGTAGGGCCTTTAAATTTGGTATACAGGGTCATCAAGGGATGCACTAGTGCGGAGTAGAAGCACAGCTCTCTAGGTTTTATAGAAAAAAAGTAGCTATATTTCACCTGCTTTTCTTGCAAGGCGGTACCTCCAACATAAATGGCTCGATCTAGTACCCACCTGAATTGACTGGATATTGACCAAATTTTGTCAGTTTTTGATCGCAAATAACTCAAGAACCAAGAGAAATGAAGAAGAACGGACTTCAGATTCTTGTTTAGCACATCGAAAACACCCTGTATACAAGTTTTCAGCATGTTCTGACGTCTCGAGTAGGATGAAAAAAGTTCAAAGGGGTTAACCTTGTTTCATTTTCAGACCCAAAAATCAACTTTGTCGTAGGGCCTTCAAATCTGGTATACAGGGTCCTTAAGGGATGCTCTAGTGCGGAGTAGAAGCACAGCTCTCTAGCTTTTATAGAAAAAAAAGCTATTTTTAACTCTTTCTTGCATTGCGGTACCTCCAATACGAATGTCTCGATCTGTATCTACCCGAATTAACTGGATATTGACCAAATTTTGTCAGTTTTTGATCGCAAATAACTCAAGAACCAAGGGAAATAAAGAGAAACGGACTTCAGATTCTTGTTCAGCACATCGAAAACATCCTGTATACAAGTTTTCAACAAATTCTGAGGTCTTGAGTAGGATGAAAAAAGTTCTTTTTCAGACCCAAAAACCAACTTTGTCGTAGGGCTTTCAAATTTGGTATACATAATCTATCTTTACGAGATGCCCTAGTGCGGAGTAGAAGCTTAGCTCTCTAGCTTCTTTTGGAAAAAAAGATGCAATTTTTGACCTGCTTTTTCTTTCCTTGCGGCACCTTAAATATGAAATGGCTCGATCTAGTGTCCATCTGAATTAACTGGAGATCGTTGTCATGAGAACTGCTGAATTTTTGGCGGAACTGTATTAATTCACGAATTATTTCAGTTTTTCATAGGAATTACTGAATTATCAACTATTCAGCCATCTATGGAAAATTATGTTCAAGGTTTAATTAAGATATTTCATTCAGACTAGAACCAGAAATTGTTTTCAATGAACTCGTATCCGCAAACGCACCTTCATTGATCTACAGAGCATTAAAATTTCAAGATTTGTTTAGTATTTCCTCTATAACTCAGTTTTTTGGATAGGCAGTGTTTTTTCTTTCATTGTGGTAATAGTTTCCTCAATATAAGTAATTGATAAGAATATTTCAGTGGTAGTTATAGAAAAAATACCAAAAAAATCTTGGGATGTCAACGCTCTCTGTAGACTGGTAATGAAGCGTTTTGATATAAAAACCGTCTGATAGGGAAATTAGAAACACCCTGTATAATAAAACAAGTAGACATTCAATATCATGTATTATTATTCATAGTTCAATAAGTTATATAACAACCAAAATAAAGTATAATTATGTACAATATTCACAATATCTTCCACAAGAAAATCAAAGATCCCTTCAATTCACTCATTTCAAAACAACTTACACTAAATCACATGTATCTATCACAAATCAGAATCACTGTCAGTCGACAAACTAACCCACCCCCTCACACCGACTTCAACTTAGTCGAAATCTGCAGAACCTTGATGGTCTGCAGGAACCAGAAGAATCCAGAAACCATGAAAAACACCTCGACGGAAAAGAGAACAGCGCCATCTATGTCCGGAAAGCCCATCCTCTGGATGGCGGTGACCAATAGCGTGCATCGGAGCAGCTCGAACGCGCATGCGTAGGGACAGTTGTCGAATAACATCCCGATGGTGGTCAGCGATGCTATGATGTAGATCACGAAGGCCAACACTGAAAACGGATTCATACTCTGAAAAAAAGAAGAAGAAACCGTCAGTTATTTTATTGAGATCAGTGCTGCCAACTCAGCCATTTTATGGCTAGTTCTAGCTAGAGTCCCTGTATATACTTTAGACAAGAGTCCGGACACAACTATACTTCTGTCCTTTTCTGTTTTCAAAAAATGCAGTGATGATTGAATAAAGGAATAAGACATATATATCGAGCTCTGTCTTTTCAATTCCCCTAGTATCAATGATTGTCAGAAACAATTTTGAGGGTTAGATTATTTGTCAAACCGTTCATGGCCGTAGGTAGAAGTGAGAAATAGGGCTATTTTAACTAGAATAACTATTGGATTTTCAAATAATGAACAACAGGGTGTTCAAATTTCGAATCGATAATTTTCGTAATCAATTCCTGAGATGGCTATTGCAAATTTTCGTCATCAGATATTTCTTTCCTTCATTAGATATAAGAAAGATAATTTAAGTGATCTACGGGGTATCACATATAGCCAAGAAAATATAGTTGTTTTTTTGGGATATAAAAAAATAGAAGATATATAATTGTTTCAATATAATTTTAATTGTGTCGGTTTCCCACCACTTCCTGCAGTCTTCTTTCACCCAGTATATTTTTTAATTTGATCTGAATTGAAAACACCGTGGACTGATGACATAGCACATTGCAATTTCCCTAAATCTTCCAGTTTTGATTTCAAACTTTCAATTTCTCTCCGCATCATCTCATTCTCATTTTCTTTCTCTGCGATCGTATTATTCAGTAATTCCCAATACGATGACGACGGGACACTTTTTTTGAAGAGATTGACGGCACAACAGACTCTTTCAATTTGAAATCCATTAGCTTGAAAGAATCTCTATCAAAATGGGCCTAAAATTCATCTTTTTTGTAGTGTTTTCACAAGTGAATTCGAATATTTACCCCACATATTGCGGATTTCTTGAAATTAATTTTCCGTTCAGGACGTTTCATTGCATATTCTTCCATGACATTATCTCTAAAGGATCATTCGGAAAATTGAATAACTCGAATCCCTTTTCTAATGAATTATCGCAATAATGTATGCAGCAGGACATTGAAATAATTTAAAATGCAAAATTTTGGCGGTCATAAAATTTCAAAGGGACAGTGACAGAAATTCGAAATAATTAAAAAAAGTGGGCGAGACGACTATGGTGTTTCGTCACATTGTCAGGTGGGCAAACCAAATGAAACAAAATATTAAAAACCCCAAAGTATATACAGGGACTCTAGTTCTAGCTAGGGTCCCCTGATGGAAATTGACGTTGAAGTCATCTTTACAGGGTACGGACAGATTCTCGTCTCCTCTCACTCTAAAGTGTTTGTGCAACAGTTATATAGTTCCATCCTTATTCAATTCTGGGGATAAACACTAGATTTTTGACATTCGTATGTTTTTTAGGTTATATTGAGGTCACTGGCGTATCATACGTAATATCCATATGGAATTCCTGATTCAACTATACCAAGATATAGATGAACAATCCTCTAGTTTTAGAGTTTACTACTCCAGCATAATCTTTGCGAGGTTGGGAACATATAAATTGTACTGAAAACTTAATATATTTCACCAAAAGAGACTGTTCTTAGATTGTATACCAGGGTTGACTGAATTGACTAAATGAATTCTGATTTCAAGCAGAGCAGAAGTTTATCTATGAGCTGAATGAGCTGAGCCTTATGATTAAGAAATGGTGGAAACCTCGATGTGGGTATCTGAACTACTATACTCATGTCATGTTATGGGGTGACTAATATCACACTATGTATAAAACTTCGTCTGGGACCAAAAGTAGGCTGATAAAAAGTAAAACGTGAAATCTGCAGGAAAATAAAGAATAGAATATACTTTACCCCCATGTTATACATATAATTTTTCCGTCTCCCTTAAATAAAAAGTCATTTTCGAATAAATCATTGATGAAAGTAACATACGTAGTATAACTTATAGCCATGTTATTTTCACTCTTGTATTCTACATATTTTCTATTTGTGATAGAGTAATAATTATATGAACTTATGTCTTTCGCCATAATGGATCAGTCATCTCGAATTTTCAAAATTCGACGAAACAATCATTATCTCCTACCCCGAAAACCCCCAGATACCAATTTTGAATAGAATCGGATCTTCATTATAAAACTCGTCCACCATATAGGATCCGCCATCTTGAATATCCCAATTTTGACGGAATAATTACAAAATTCGTTCGCCATATTGGATCCACTATCTTGAATTTCCCAATTTTGACAAAAAATCATACAGTTCGACCCCGAAAACCCCTAGGTACCTTCCAATTTTGAATAGAATCATATCACAAAACTTTTTCGCCATAATAATCTTCCTCAACAATACCCTGTACAGACCTATTATTAAAATTTTGAATGATTTTCTGTAGCGCCCATGGATGTGACGTGCAGCAATGTCAGGGATGCCAGTAGACAAAACTAAAGTCCCTAGATCATAAAAAAAGAATGCAGCTATGATCTGTCCGTACCCTGTTAAGATGACTTTAACGTCAATTTCCATGAAGGAACCCTAGTTCTAGCCATTTTTGAACTCATCTAGCTACTAAAAATTTCATCTAGCGATTTAGCCATTTTTTCTATCAATTTTTCATTCTGAATTTATATGAAAATATTTTCATTTTCATAGTATTCCCATAGATAGTTCATTATAGTCACGATCTAATCTAAGTCGAATTTAGACCAGCCCATAATTCTATGGATTTTGTACTAAAGACAAATGAGGTGCGTTTTCCATTCCAACATTTTGTCATGCGCATGAATCAAAGAAACATGGACGTTGACGTCCATGGCGTTAACGCATCACGTCATACTTCAACGTCAATACTACTATAGTCAGTAGTCTAGCTCTAGATCTAAGCTCTATACATAGGAGGCTAAATGGAGGCTATCTTCCAAATTCAACTGATCAGAATCAGTTTCATAAACCCAGTTACCCAAACTATGTCTGCCTGTCAATGACGTTGTTTTATTGAAGAATATCAATAGCTCCTTTGTTTCAGTTGTGCCGTGGTTAATATGGACAATTTTAGGTTGAAGTTTTCATCTTCTATTTTTTATAACTCTACCTAACCAGGTTGAGATATAAGGAGTTCCTACATTTCTATTTTCAGCTTGCATGCTATCATTTCAATAAAGTACAAACAGTAATGTTTGATCATAGTTCTGATGAGTTGCCAGCTCCTATTTATAACCAAACAGCTTCAATAACTCGTTTTTCGCCTACCGTAAACAATTTTTTTTAGTGCATGCTTTCATTATGTATGTTTATGTATGAATAATGTTCATTGTTCATATTCAAAATGTTCCAAGATCAGACATTTTTGTTAAGGTACATGTAAAGCGACAAATTTCGCGTTTCTGATCTGTCAGATGTCGCTAGTGCTCCAGGTGTTACTTGATGTATGCAACCATAATTGCCCTACTTTTGTGTTTCATAGGGTAAAAATTTTGCAGAACCCTTCCGAAATATGCAGATTCCTTCGTTGTCTCTGTAAAATACATACCATTGTTGCCATAGCTGGTAATAGGTCTTAGACTTGCGATATTTTTTGCAAATTGCATGGTATGTACTGATATTGCGCGACATTATAATTATCTGATCTTTATTGTCTCCGGTGGGTGAAGGAGTAGAATTGAATTTTATATTAGCATCTATGAGAATATACATGTATATTTCGTGAGGATTCGATGCAATTAAAAAAGGCGACACATAAACACACAATAAATATAATAACAATTTCTATACATAGTGAGACGATGTGTTGTCGGAGCGCGAACGCATAGATGAAAAGATCGCCAATCGCCTTCAAGGTCATTTTCTCGGGCGCAAGGCGGCTAGGCGGAAGCTTTGACTTTGAGGTTCGAAGCGATGCGCTAATGAGCGTCGGCGTCGGCCGCCTCTTCTTTTTTGGGGTATCGGGTATTTAGGAGATTTTACGAGGGTTAATTATTATTATGAATCGTTCATATTTCAGTGATAACGTTCGCTACAGGGGTGAATGGAGAAACACTAGTGTGGCTCATATACTTATTTGTTTGTATATGAATGGAATATATGGAATTGGTATGGAATGATAATGATATTTATAATATACACGGTGGTCCAAAATTGCCTTCCGATGTATTTCTGGGGGAATACATTCTTGATGACATTATTGTAATTTTTCAAGTGAAAACTTTAGGCGCGTTCAGCACTTTGTTGGGTGAGGAAAAACCAAAAAACATTGAATTTCCGTCCCGATCCGTCCGTCCGAACCCGTTCCGACCTGTCGCCGAAGTCACGACTGAACACGAATGAACATCAAAAAATCCGAAGAGTATCTTATTCCATCCTTGATTATACACTAGTGTATTTTGTAATAATTATGATCAGATTCTATTCAAAACTGGTATAGGTATCTAGGGGTTTTCGGGGATCGACGGAGATTATGATTTTTCTGTCAGAATTTGAGAATACAAGATGGCGGAGCCAATATGGCAGACGAGTTTTGTAATTATGATCCGACTGTATTCATAATTGGTATCTGGGGGTTTTCGAGGTCGGAGATTATGATTGTGTCATCAAAATTTGGAAATTCAAGATGGTGGAACCAATATGGCTGACGAGTTTTGTAATTAAGATCCAATTCCAAAATATTGTATATCTGAGGTTTTCTGGATCAGAAATCATGATTTTACCATCAAAATTCGGAAATTTATGATGGCGGATCCAATGTGACACACGAGTTTTGTAATTATGATCCGATTCTATTCAAACGTTATATCAGGGGATTTTCGGCATCGGAAATTATGATTCCTTAGTCAAAATAAAGAAATTCAAGATGGCGGATTCAATATGGCAGATGAATTTTGTAATTATGATATATTCAAAATTTGTATCTGAGGGTTTTTTGTACAAAATATGATACCTATAGAATAGAGGAGGGGTCTGGTTCAATAAAGATCCTGTTCTTGATGAGAATCGCCTTATTTCGGAAATATTTATATCATCACTATAATATATCATTGGTGATTTGAGGGGAAATATTTCCATTGGAAATATTGCCATGGAAATGGAAATATAGGAAATTCCCGAGAGTGTCTTGGGACTATTGAAGTATTGAACATATTGGAAATATTCAAACCTTTTCAAATCCGATGTTCATTATGATATATCATTCATATTCAGCACTAAAAACTCACTATAGAAAAAACACATACAGACAGGGTGAGTCATGAGGAACTGTACATGCTCCTACTAGGAATAGAGGCACCTGAGGAAATCACCAAATGACCATCAGAAAGTGTCTCCGCCTCTTCTAAAATAATCTATAGGGTGATTTATTGGATATGGCCAAAACTTCTTTCAATCATAACTTTCCAACAGTTCTTTCGATTCCTTCTATTTTTTCATGGATAATAATGCTGTCGCTCAGCAATCAACTGACGAATTCAGAATCGTAAAAATCCAGGACCGGCCTTGAGAAATTCTGCCAATTTGGTTCATATCAAAAATTTCACCCTGTATAAGGTTTTAGTGAACTGTGATATGGAATTTTCAAAGTTTATGAACAGGCAACCAAAATGAAGTATTTCAAAGTTTCCTCACACTTTCATTGAATTTATTAGAAAACGATTAATTTCGACTACACGCAAAACTTTGGCGACAAATGTATTCATTTGAAAATTAATACTTCGCAACGCATGAATTTCACGAATAAAAGTAGGGATAATATTATTCACAATTCTCCAGCTCAACAATAATCAACATTCTTTTATCTCCAGGGTTGGATTCAGTATTTTTTTAGTAGAGAGTATTGATCACCAAAAATTTCACCCTGTATATGGTTTTGGTAACCTGTGACATGGAATTGTCAAAGTTGATGAACCGGCAACCCGAATGAAGTATTTTGAATTTTCCTCAGAGTTTTATCGAATTTTTTAGAGTACGATCAATTTTCACTACACGCGCGAAACTTTGGCAACAAATGTATTAATTTGAAAATTAATACTTCGCAACGCTAGAATTTCACGAATAGAAGCAAGAATAACATCAATTCCTATTCTTCAGCTCTCTGGAAATCAACATTCTTCTATATCCAGGGTTGGATTCAGTAATTTTCCATGGACCCAAAAATCTTTTGTAGTGTTTCTTAGAAATCCGCAATATTATGAAAATTCGAATCAAAAATTTTCCAGGCAATTTCTATCAACAGACGGGTCATCAACTGAAATCTGGAATATTCAGAAATACTCAGAATCTCTATTACAAATCGATTGAAAACCTCAGAATATTTAACTGATTTAAGCTGTGACATTCGTCAATCACATTACCTACTATAACATCATACCGAATGACGGATAGAACAAATTTTAGAACAAAATACAGGATGATTATTACTTTCCACAAAGAAAAGAAATACAACCCTAGAAATTATAGTCATGTTGATTATCATTGGGATTAGGAATTGGAATCAATCTTGCTTTTATAAGTGAAATTGAAGTGTTGAGAAGTATTTATTTTAAAATTAATTCATTTTTTTGCTAAAGTTTCGTGTTCGGTAATAATTGATCTTATTATTTGAAGAAATTCATTAAAACAGTATGGACAATTTGTAATGCTTTAATATGGTTGCTTGTTCGTCGACTTCAAAAATGTCATGTCACAGTTTACTAAAATCATATACAGGGTGAAATTTTTGGTGATTATTACCCTCTACCAAAAAATTACTGAATCCAACCCTGGAAGTAGGAGAATGTTGATCATTGTTGAGCTGAAGAATTGGAAATAATTTTATCCTCACTTTTATTCGTGAAATTCATGCATTGCGAAGTATTAATTTTGAAATTAATACATTTGTTGCCTAAGTTTTGGCGTGTAGTATAAATTGATCATTTTCTAAAAAATTCAATGAAAGTGTGAGGAAATTTTGAAGTACTTCATTTTGGTTGCCTGTTCATCAACTTTGAAAATTCCATATCACAGTTTACTTAAACCTTATACAGGGTGAAATTTTCGATATGAACCAAATTGGCAGAATTTCTCAAGACCGGTCCTGGATTTTTACGATTTTGAATACGTCAGTTGATTGCTGAGTGACAGCATAACAATTCATGAAGAAATGAAAGGAATCGAAAGAACTGTTGGAAAGTTATGATTGAAAGAAGGTTTGGCCATAATCCATAAATCACCCTATAGATTATTTTAGAAAAGGCGGAGACACTTTCTGATGGTCATTTGGTATTTCCCTCAGGTGCCTCTATTCGTAGTAGGAGCATGTACAGTTCCTCATGACTCACCCTGTATACCCACATCTCGAAATTAGCCTGTCGAACTTCATCACCGGCTTCTACGACCAAAAATAGGAAGAAAAGTTCAGATGAACATAAATGTCTCTTATATGAGGGAGCTACAGCCCCCTGGAAGGGGGGTCCTAAATATGATATTTCTTGAATATTTCCGAAACGCCATGTGATATAATAATGCAATTCGGTACAAAAAATAAACTTTCCATCGAGCTTTCCATGCCCAATGCAGTGAAAATAAACCATTCCAAGATTTGCTCTTGTTCCGAATCAATCAGAGATGTATCATTTTCGAGGAAAATCGATCAGAAAATATTGTACCTTCTCAATACATATTCGTTTTATTGTTAATTTTTAGTGTTTTATATAATTTTATAAAAATTTTATATCGCTACTTCGATGGGAATCAACACCGCAGAAGTCGAAACTTGTGCGGGGTTATGGTGAGCGAGACCTACGTGGAATTCAAACCACTTCTAGGAAATCGAGGTGCTGCTAGGTTTAAAACCAGAAATTACATATTTTTGAGAAAAATGCTCAACCAAATGCTCATTGTGAATAATCACATCAAGGGAGCATACATAATGTCCATCATCAGCCTAATAAGAAATTACATAGTCCTATATACAATGAGAAAAATTAATTAAGTAACAAGAGGAATCCTTACCATAGAGATAGCTTACATGAAGATGGAAAAATTTTTATAATAACCGTAGAGAATTGAAAAACATGAAAGTTAAATGGTTAGTTGTTTTCTAGAGGAATAACCATGAAAACCTCCATAGATGGGCATTATGGTGGATAATAAAAATCTGAAGAGGCCCCTAACATTTGGGGCACTTCCATGAGCAAGTTTATGACACAATGAAGATGAAGATATATATATTTCTATCGTCAACAAAAAAGTTATTATTTCGGATGAAATTTTCACTTCCCGGTACATGTGTACAAGTGCATGATGCATGTCCGAAAAACCAAACTTCGAAAGGCATTTTCTTTATTAATAAAAAATTTCATCTGCGAAGCATTATCATTGTTCATCACAATAATCAACTGAATTGACTTAATCTTCATATGAATATGAAATAATTCAACACGACCCATCCCCCCCTTCATTAGGCCCGCGAATGTATTCAATATTCACAAGTCAAAAAGGGAAAATGTGTCCATAGACGATTTTCTGAAGGATTTGCTAGAAACAATCAGCATTTATCGGTTGTCTTTGTCTAGGCGTATTGGCAACGCTGTACGACAAATATTATGATGGTCAGACATTTTATGCGATACTCGTGGACAGTAGCGAAACTACTTTAGATTATGACTATTACCAGCAGAGGCAGCACCTGCTGGAGCGATTAACTTATTTGAGAGGAATTTGGTAAGGGGTTTTGAAAACCCTATTTTAAAATCGAATAAATCATTGTTTATGACTGAAATAGGATTCAAGTAATCCGTATTCGTTACATCTTACATGAATAATCAAAATATATCATATTTTTCGAATAATATAGATTTTACAGCAACTTTCCATGATTAATTCACTATTGTAGGAAAACTGTAAGTTCAAAAATTTTCAAAAAAATCAGGCATATTTTAATTCGTTGTTAAAAACTGCTGTGAGATTTTGACAAAAATTCATCGAACAGTTTTTGTGAAAACTAAAAAAAACCTATAAAAAAAGGAGTTTTAATTTTTTTTCTCAAAATTCGTTCGATAGATTTTCATCAAAATCTCACAGAAGTTTTCAATTAAAAACCTTGATATACCAGATTTTTTTCAAAATTTTTGAACTTGCCGTTTTTTTTTCACGTGGGTTTACATGAACCTTAACAAAGTTGACAAAAAAGTATCTTGACAGGATTAGGAAAAATTTCTAGGGATTGAATAGGATAAAAAATGAATAACTTGGTCTAATGAACAACGACAATGACATGATTGCACCTAATTTTTTGTTTGGCAATTTTGACATGCCCTGTATTGTTGATAGATCATTACAGTATACGTTCCCAATTTGGTTTTAATTCCTGATTTCAGGACTTGGGCAGAAAAAAAAATCAACCAATGCTTCACTGCTGACTTTCTGCAGGCCAGTTTGAAATGAAACTATCATGAAATTCTTAAATATAGATAAATTCAATTAAACTTACCATGTGTTGAGCAGCAAGTTGTTGAAATCCATAAACCACAACACAAAAATGAGCCAGCAGGTAAATATCACACCAAACTGGAAGCTTCACATCATATTTTTCTCTAGCTACGATCTGAAAAGAAATTTGCTATTTACCTATAATTTCAAACGAACACCAAACAGCTTCATATTTTAATTTTTTGATTTCTACGAATTTTCTAAAAAATCCTTGAGAATGGGTTTCTACCTTTATTTTATCTTCTTCAAGCCCCAACCTAGGTTTGCCAGGTTGCCAACTAGGCCCATAAAATACGGCAGCCAATTTGTAACGCCAACTCTGCATACTCTTGAATTTATCAATGACATACTCAGTGTAAAATGTCTGAAAAAAAAAAGAGGAAAAATCAGATTCAAAGCAGAGTTCAATTATGAAATGTCATTGACCATGACTTAGTATGTAGATTTCGTTGGTGTTTGGAATTTTACATACCTGTAAGTGTAGTGGATTGAAAGAGGGTTGATTGTAGACGAGACCATATATGATTTCTTCGTCTTGTTTTTCGCTAGCAAACGTTCCAAAAATCCTATCCCAAATGATGAAAACCCCACCGTAATTTTTGTCCAAGCAGTAAATATTGCTGCCTGAAAATATGAATTCGTTTCATGGCAAATTTTATTAATTTCTTGTTTAAAAGCTACTTCTGACACAATTGTTGCAAGTATTTTGTGACAGTGAAACAAATTTGAAAACTTGACAACAACATGTTTTTTTATAGTTACAATCTAGGGGAAAACATCAACAAAACGAAACTTACACAGGGCGAAAGGAAATTGACCTGTGAATAACATAAAAATAGTTTTTTATAATGAAATAATCATATTTCTGGAGGAAAACGTTCTTTATTTTTATGCAATTGCACAATGAGAAGAAATTACAAAAACATCTGCAGATGAAGTTCCATTGTATCATAATGTGTGACTTTTCATAAGAAATAGCAATTTGTGTATACAGGCTGATTCACGGTGGATGGCACATTGTACGTTTCTGGAGAACACAACTCAGGATTATTCTGAGAAGTTGGTGCCTTGGATAATTAGTTGTGTTCTATCGACCTGAAATATTCTTAGCGTTGCGAGGTTGCCGCTAATACTGAAAAGTAGCAACAACTTTGATTTTTTAAATGGGACACCCTGTATATTATTCCATTTTCAGATTATCACTTAGGGGTTAGCAGTAATAGTTACAGAGTTATAGGATGTGAAAAATCGAGATTTTTCAACTTTAGTAATTTTTTGTGTCCAAAATAATTCATACTTGGTCAAAACAGTCTTCATCTCCCAATCCCAACAATTTATGCACTATCAATTGATATTTAATTGAAATAAATACAGGGTGGTTCAGAATTAAGATTTTTGACAACCCTGTATCTATTTCAATTAAATATCAATTGATAGTACATGAAAAGGTAAGATAGGGACATGTTTTATGATCACAATTCAATAAACACGAGCACAAATGACGTGGACAAGGGTTACACTTGCTCTTAACTCGGCTGCCTGCCAAACACTGTATGAGCCAGTCTCCACACACGTCTGTCATAGGCTCTGATCTAAGCACATTACACTGAGCAGTAGCGCATCTAGTTGCTAGATGCTAACGGGACATAAAAATCATTTTGACCAATTATGAATAGTTTCGACACAAAAAATTCTAAAGTTGAAAAATCTCGATTTTTCACACCCTATATCTTTGTTACCATTCCCGCTAGACCCCAAGTGTGATAGATCGATGAAATCAGCTCTTGAGGAAGAATCTGAATATGGAATGATATACAGGGTGTCCCATTGAAAAACCAAAGTTGTTGCTACTTTTCAATATAAGCGGCAATATTTCAGGTCCATAGAACACAATTAATTCTCCAAGGAACCGAATTTTCGAAATAATCTTACGTTGCGTTCTCCAGAAACGTCTACAGTACCTTGTTAATCTGTGCATTCACCGAGGATCAGCTTGTATAAATGTATATAGTGTAATTCATAAAGTTGGCTTCATAACGTGACTTTGGCTTAAAGTTATCACTTACCATGATGGACCCTATGATGTTGAGGGGTATTGAAAATGTACTCCAGAGGCCCCAGAGTGGTGATCGTTTTGGTGTGAATCCAAAATTGGTACAGCAAATTGAACTGTTGGTGCGTTATAAAATGAGCTGGTGGAATAAAGAAAGCCAATGGAAGATAGAAGATCTGAAAGAAAAAAACTATGAAAACATTGAAGTAAGTTAGGGGTCCAGATTACTTACAAATCCACACCATCCTTGTACCAAAGACTGCCTCAAACCAACAGCCAGATTAAATTCTTCAGAACTATGATGGACTTGATGTTGCGCCCACAAAATGTGAACCTCTGAAACGAAAACAAAATCAGTAGTAGCTTTCAGATTTGAATAGTTCAGAGTGAAGTGCTTACCATGACAGGCTCTGTGTACCCAATAGTAGCAAAAATCAACTCCGACTGCAGCCAAATACCAAGTTAAGGGAGTGTCCCAAGGTAGGTTGACTAGGCGGAACTTTTCGTATAAATAGAAGTACATGAAGCTTTCTCCACCACGAAACAACAATCTGAAAAAAACATCATTTGAATCATTTCCATCAGTTCATAAACTCTCGATTCTAAACAGCCAAGTGAGTTCGTTAATCTGTTCAAAAATTATCATCATATACATAGGTCAAACTAGGACATATAACAAAACTAGGTTCGAAGAACATATTGAATATTCTTTGTGTGATACCTATACTTGAAAAATCTATTTCGACCACAATCATGACACAAAACATCGAGAGGTTGAAATTGATCAAACAAGTTGATAATTAAAAGCCATATATGGAAGTTAGAAATGAATAAGGATAAAGATTCTCTTCAATATGACGTTTCGCAATTCGGATAAATGTCAGCCGTTCCTGAAATATTTTGAAACAACTGAAAATCATCCATTTCATTTACTTTCTTGGCTAATATTGGACAAAGAAATTGAAAATTTGTGTAGGTAGTTAATTAATCATGACAAAGAACTTGGGATTATCAGAAATATTATACTTTCATTATTTTCAAAGATTCATCATGCAACTTTTGTTTTTCTAATGGGCGCTATATTTGGTTTTAGCAGTAAAAACATTTTCAAATGTGGTAGGTTAGGTTCATAAGAAAAGAAAATATCTGTCGTCATGACTGCAAGTATTTCTTCTTCATGCTACAACGCTACATTATGCAGAAAGAAGGAAAAAGCAGAAAAAAACCAAGGATACAAAATTTTGAATAATCAAGATACGATCACCTAAAATTAACTGGCCTTGAAAACCATAAATCTGATGATTTTCACGTTAATGTTGAGAACGAATCAATGAATATTGATAAATAGTTAATTTCATCATAAAAATATAACTAAACTAAAACTAATGTCAAGACCAAGTCTAACACTAAATGAAAAACATCCGATAATGGTGAGGTAATAGTATTTTGATTATTTAACGAAAAATATGTAATCTTGGTTTTACTGTGTATTTTTTCCATTATTGCATGATAATGTAGTGTGTGTTATTCATGGATATGAAAAAGTATTGATATAGTCATGAGGACTGATATTTTGTCTTCCTTTTATCATGATCTACTATATTTAAAAATTCTACATGGCTGGAAGGAAATTTTGAGCTCTACTCAATGGTATAAAAAAACAAATATGGCGCCCATAAGTTGCATGGCAAATCTCTCTGAAAATAATGAAGATACAATATTTCTGATAATCCCAACTTCTTTGTCATGATTAATTACTTGCTTGAATATAATTTCAAAACTCTTCCTCCAATTTTAACCAAGAAAATAAATTGAAACAAAATCAGTGATTTTCAGTTTTTTTTTTATATTTCAGGAACGGCTGACGTTTTCTCAAATTGCAAAACGTCATATTAAAGAGATTCAATATACGCAACTTTTGTAAAATTTGATCAACTTTCTATTACCGTTTAGGAAATAGCAATACAGTCCCTATTAAATCGGCAGGACCCTGTATAGCTGAGTAATTTCAAAATAGAAGTAGTATTATTGAAACCAGTATCATTTCCTATGCACCTTCATATTTGCATTTCCTGTGATTTCGTGTCAACAAAGTATGGCTCGATTTAAAATGCATTATTGCCACGATGTACTTGAAAGTGTTTTGTCGATGGAGTATTTTTTTTTCACACTTACTTTCCGGAATGTTGTATCAATCCATGGGACAAACTTGTCAAACCATCGTTGAGTCTATATGCGTCGTGCTTCTTATCCGACCATAAGATAACGTTCTCCAAAACCATGAACAGGAGAAAGTAGGGCCAAGCCTTAAAACACAAAAAGTATTCAAATGAGACATTAAATAGTTATTTTTTCTACAAGCGTGTGTGATTCACCCTATATGTGTGATTCTCAACCGGTGGGTCGCAACCCCCTTGAGGTCGCGATGTACATATGGGGGGGGTCGCCATTATGCCCAAAAATTTCGACCAGTGCAAGTTTCAACAACATTGCAATACAGTGTGTCTCACTTTCCATGCTCACCATGGGTATCTTTTTATAGGTGAGAGATACGAGGTCGGTTAAATGACACCAAATGTGGAGTTTGTCAAGGCCAACTATAATGTGAAAAAATATTTTGATAAAATCTATTCGTTTTTGTTTTATACGCAAAAAAACAGATTTTGATAATTTTCATGTCTCCTCCGCAACTTCTTTATTTATGAAAATATTCAAATAGGAATTTCACATTCTCATGGCAGTTTTTCAGTGATTTCGAAAAAACATGAAATTTATACCAACTCTTCTAGAATTTGAGATATCAGCACCAACTTTAGTTTTTCAAATGTAGGACATAGCTCACTATGACTTAGTTACAATTAACTTTTTTTTCTCTCACAGATGATATGTCGCAGTAATAGTTTTGTGTTGATAACAACGGAGTTATCGTCATTTATACAAAAACAAAAAATTATTTGGGAGCCGCCATCTTGAATTCATGAATTTCAACGAAAAAATTATGATCTCCGACCTCAAAAACCCCCACTTACCAATGTTGAACCGAATCGGACCAAATCTTGTCCGCCATCTTGGAGCAGCCATTTTTTTTAATTTCAACAAAAATTATCAATATTAGGGAGATATTACATTATAGTCACTTTTTCCCGTCACATAAAAAATGGATTTTAATTATGTTAATCTTCTATTGAAAAAAAATGTCTCACATCATGTTTGTACGAAAACGTAAATTCCACGTTTTTTTTTTTATTTTTCGGTCGATATAAATTCTGGCTCATCTCGTAATTTTGATTTTTATCTCGGATATTTCAATTGTTGAATGGAAAATCAACTTTTATGTCGAAATTCGTCATATTGAATTAGTATTTTGAAATTTTGAGAAGGAATCAATCAATCATGAATGCAGCAAACTTTTTATCGACATCCTTGAAATCAGTAGTGTTTAACCACATAATAATTTAATTATAGGATATTTTGGGTCTAGAATTCATATCTGGGGCAATGTATCCAAGTTTTTTGACGATCATTTGCTAATCAGTGGTTTGCTTGCATAAGATTTGGGTAAAAAAATTCAGACATGATTTCTAAATTTTTGTATCGGAGTCGGTGACAATGCTATTTCGTATTTCATAATTATGCAAAAAATCGATGATAATAAGCATGATTTCCATTGGGCAATTAATATAAGTCAAGTTATTTCTCACTGGAAATAACGATATGAATAAATTTGAATCTAAATCAGTTTCTCTCAGGAGATAGATCAAAGTACGATCATGTTAAATTCCAAGAAGAAATTGCTGTGAATGTTTATTAATTATTATTAAATGCTCTAGTAATATTTTATATATTTTATATGGAACGAGATTTTTGATGCGATTTTCTCATGATGGAAATCAAGAATGTCGCGACTGTTTTTAATGTTTGAAAATTCTTTCATTGTTTTTTTCGGAAAACTGATGGTTTAATAATGTGTCGAAATTTTAAGTTTAATCAATCTCCTCAACGAAGATTATGTGCTTTTTTCCTTTAAAGATCGGGATGCAATATTTACAGGGTGAAATCTAGATCCCTCACCGAATACAATATTTCTATGAGGGGCACAATGTGATTACCTTTTTGAGGCTTTTAGACGAAACATTTTCATCAAATTAATTCTTTTAGATCGCAACTTTTTATCAGATTCCCTAGAGAATTATTTATGCATACTCAGTATCACTTAATTTTAACTACATAGGATATAAAATAGTTCCATTCACTCAGGAAAATAAGTATGAGGTAAAAATGCATTCAAGAATTATCTTTGTTGGTTACGAAAAAATTGCAATAAAATTATGACTTGTTGCAGTATATCGATTCAATGATATCTTAGATCACCCTGCGAATTGATAATATATCAATCTAAAATAACCAATATTGAAGAGATAACACTATTTCATCATCAGTTTCACAAATAAACCTGGCATTGAAACGATTAATCGGAAAAATACATTATTTTTCCGTAAAAATATTATTGATTTTGGTAAGTGGTCTTGACTTCGCACTGTAGATGTCCTATCTTTGACCTTAATATAATTCGAAATTTCAACATAGAACAATGAATCGTTCCATAATCAGAATACTGTTTCAGCAACCGTCTGGGAAGTGCTCACTTCCTGGATGATTTTTCTTTGAGAAAGTAGCATTTTTACGGCCTAGTCCGGGAAACACGTAATTCACGGACTAGGCAGGCCAGCGTCAAAGAATAACTTATGTGGAGTTGGCGCCGTTTTTTTTAAACTAAATTTCTTACTAGATTTGATAGATTGGAATTTTGAATAGTTCCAGCAAATCGTAGATGGAAATGTAAAAAAATAATTTCGAGCGTAGGTGAAAATCGATTTGGTTAGTGGAACTCCTTTCAGAATTGTTTAGTTTCTTCCTCGGTTTCTTCTAATTTTTTATCGAAAAAGATAGTTTTTTGAGATTCGCACCTTATGATAGCTGATGAATGTTAAATTATCAATTTGTCTCTAGAACACAATAAGAATATTTGAGAAACTGGTCAGGCGATACTCAGAACTCCCTTCAGAACTGTTCTGTTCGCAAGACTCTACCAAAACTCGTTCGTTCATAGAACGGCGAAGCTTTGGAATTCTTTGCCAATGGAAGTATTCCCAAGAACTTATACTCGTACAGAAACTATCTGTCTTTTATTTTCACCATGTACCTAAAACTAAAATTGTTCCTCTTATACGATGATCCACAGGGCTATCAGTCTATTTGTTCATAATTATTTCACTTAGTAGACCGTGTACCTACACAAAATGTTTTATGTGTTTGACAGTTAATCGATTGCATCAATAATTTTTCTTCTTCATTTGTGTGTTGATTGAAATTGCATATTAACAACATATCGACTTTTTCGTTTCTTGAATACATTTATTTAGGTTGGTTTACTAGATCTGGTAACATATCTTAGGTAAGGTTACTAGATCTAGTAACATATCTTAGGTTAGGTTACTAGATCTGGTAACATATCTTAGGTTGGGTTACTAGATCTGGTAACATATCTTAGGTTGGGTTACTAGATCTGGTAACATATCTTAGGTTGGGTTACTAGATCTGGTAACATATCTTAGGTTGGGTTACCAGATCTGGTAACATATCTTAGGTTGGGTTACCAGATCTGGTAACATATCTTAGGTTGGGTTACTAGATCTGGTAACATATCTTAGGTTGGGTTACTAGATCTGGTAACATATCTTAGGTTGGGTTACTAGATCTGGTAACATATCTCAGGTTAGGTTCGTTTCTTGAATACATTTCCCGTCTCTATTGATAATATGCAATTTTAATCAACACACAAATGAAGAAGAAAAATTATTGATGCAATCGATTAACTGTCAAACACATCAAACATTTTGTGTAGGTACACCGCCTACTAAGTGAAATAATTATGAAAAAATAGACTGATAGCCCTGTGGATCATCGTATAAGAGGAACCATTTCAGTTTTATTATTCCAAATGGGAAGATCATGTGATAGGTACACGGCGAAAATAAAAGACAGATAGTTTCTGTACGAGTAGCTGAATTCGAAAAAATATGTTCCTATCTTAGATTCCTCAATATTATGAGTTATTTTCGAAGGTTTTCATCTTGACTCAAACAAGCTATTGACAACCTGCAGACATTGATCAGAATATCAAAACATTTTGAATAATATCGGTTTACTAATGATCTTTAAATTTCAAAGCCTACCAAGTGTCGATATATCATCGAATTCATGTCACAGCCAACATCTTAGATTCCTCAATATTATGAGTTATTTTCGAAGGTTTTCATCTTGACTCAAACAAGCTATTGACAACCTGCAGACATTGATCAGAATATCAAAACATTTTGAATAATATCGGTTTACTAATGATCTTTAAATTTCAAAGCCTACCAAGTGTCGATATATCATCGAATTCATGTCACAGCCAACATATTCTTTTTGAATAAAAAGCAATTCAACAGGAATTAAGAAATAAATGACACTTTGTGATACATGGTTGGATAGAGAGAAGAAATGTACAGGGTGACATTTAAAAAAAAAGTTGGGATCACTTCCGGTAAAACAGGTGGTTGAAAAAAATTGTCGTTAAGTTCGTAAAGTGCGCTACCATTTATTATATACCTTCTGAGAATTTCAAAATTTTATCTCTTTAAATAAAAAACTACAGGCTGCTACATGTCTGCTGTGTCACCCGGTATATATATATTTGAGCAGAATACCTATACCTACTAACTGTTACATTGGAAATTTCGTATAGACATTTTCAAACTCACTATCGCAGCTGCTTTCGATAGTTTATTGCGATAATTAAAACCAAACCTCCAAAAATCAAAATGTCAACTAATTTCATGTCAAGTATCTGTCAGCTGATATTTCGCTGCTAAGGTAATCATCATCTGCATTTATAAAAACCTCATCTACCAAGATTCTCATAGTTACAGTGACAACAACGATGTGATACTTCCCGGGCTAGTCCGGGAAGTGACCACTTTCCGGACGGTTGCCAAAAAGGATATTTTTCCGAGCCGACCAAAATAAAATACATAGAAATTAATCAATACTCACATTGGTAAAATATGTGGGGACTTCAGTGGGGTCCTGAAAAGTCGTCTGCGAAGGCTTCACAATGTAGAACATGCGCCCCAGACCTTCCAGAAAATCCACCACATCTTCCCGGGAAAAGGCGCTGTTTTTCTCGACGTTTTCTTGTTCCAGCAACCTCACCAAAACCGAAATGGTCTCCGAACCATTGAACATCGCTTCACTCATTTTG